ACCATGGCTGGTTCTGTGTGACCACAGGTGGTTCTGTGTGACCGTGGGTGGTTCTGTGTGACCACAGGTGGTTTTGTGTGACCGTGGTGGTTCTGTGTGACCATGGGTGGCTCTGTGTGACCATGGCTGGTTCTGTATGACCGTGGTGGTTCTGTGTGACTGTGGGTGGTTCTGTGTGACTGTGGGTGGTTCTGTGTGACCGTGGTGGTTCTGTGTGACTGTGGGTGCAGTGGATGGTTCTGTGTCAACTTGACACAAGCTAGAGTCATCAAAGGAAGGAGCCTCAGCTGAGGAAATGCCTCCATGAGATCCAGCTGTAAGGCATTTTCTCATTAGTGATCAGTGGAGGAGGGCCTAGCCCATGGTGGGTGGTACCATCCCAGGCTACTGGTCCTGGGTTCTGTAAGAAGGTGGGCTGAGTAAGCCATGAGAAGCAAGTCAGTAGGCAACATTCCTCCATGGCCTCTGCATCAGCTCCTGCCTCCTGGATCCTGCCCCGTGTGAGTTCCTGTCCTGACTGCCTTCTGTGGTGAACCACAATGCTGAAGTGTTGGGCTTTTCTTCCCTAACCCGTCCTCTGGTCACGGTGCTTTGTTGCAGCAGTAGAAACCCTAACTAAGACAGTGGGTTTAGAACTATCTATTGGTGAGCTTAGCAGTGGATTCACAACTGAAGATGGTTGTTCCCTCATCTTCCAGAGTCTGTGATAGCCCTTCTCACATCCATGGCTGCTTGTTGTCAGGGCGAGGCTTATGCAGGTCCAGTGCAGGTTACTACAGCTGCTGTGGGTTCGTGACTAATGGTTGTGTCGTGCCTAGGTCACATTTTTCAGTCCTTTTCCCTGTCTTGCAGCTCTTTCATTCTTCCTGACCCCTTAACCCCTTGTCCTTGGTGTTCCCAGAGCCTTAGGAGGGGTAGTATACTTTTTTTTTTTTTTAGGGATGGGCACTCAGACATCACTTACTCTCAGTACCTTGGGCAGTCCTGAGTCTCTGCAGTCACCTCTATTCACCGAAAAGAGGCTTATCTCGGGCTAAGAGTAACTTTGTCTATTTGTGTAAAAGAGGTGCTTAGTCATTTTAGTCAAAGAACAGTTCTGAGTTATACCCTTGGGCCTATGACTTTGCCGAGTATGGATCGTTGACCTGGCTTTCAATACTAAGCATGAATTGCTTCCTGTGGAGTGACTGAATTGAATTGAATCATAGGTGATTAGTTGATTACATGAGTTGTGCCATTAGTACTCAGGTGGGCACATCTTCTCTAGAAGTTTGGTTTTGTAGTTAGTAAGATTCACAGCTAGGGAAGTCCTTTGATGCCTTTTCTACTAGGGTTACCTGCATGCATCACAACATCTGGCTCTTTGGAAGTGAGCCAGGAAGGAGGAAGTTTCCCAGCTGAGCTCCAGCGACTCTCTGTTTTCTAAGTGATGTATGTAGAGTCTGCAGCATAGGCACTTACACTCTAGTTTTGATTGGCAGCCAAGAGGACTACAAGAGCCTGAGTTGTTTGGGGGCCTGACCAACTCTTTTGGAGGTACCCAAATTTTGTGTGGAATTTTGTATGGTAACTCACTGCCTATAGGAGAAGCATTATCAAGTCATGACGGATGTCTCTCATCAATCTGCCTTTTATATTTTTTTAATATTTATTTATTATGTATACAATATTCTGTCTGTATGCCTGAAGGCCAGAAGAGGGCGCCAGACCTCTTTACAGATGGTTGTGAGCCACCATGTGGTTGCTGGGAATTGAACTCAGGACCTTTGGAAGAGCAGGCAATGCTCTTAACCACTGAGCCATCTCTCCAGCCCCTGCCCTTTATATTTTTATATAAAAACAATGGCAATGGGTTTTTGATCCTACTGCACCTATTGGCTTTGTGGGAGACTAGGCAGTTTGGATGCTCACCTTACTAGACCTGGATGGAGGTGGGTGGTCCTTAGACTTCCCACAGGGCAGGTAATCCTGATTGCTCTTTGGGCTGACTAGGGAGGGGGGCTTGATTGAGAGAGGGAGAGGGAAATGGGAGGTGGTGGCGGGGAAGAGTTAGAAATCTTTAATAAATGAATAAAAATTAAAAATAAAAATAAAATAGGTTGCTTAAAAATTGCATTACAAAATAGTAAAAATTTTAGGGCTTTTTTTTTTTTATATATCCCATGTTTTGGCTAACCCTTGCCCTCTCTATCCCCATCCACCACTCCCCATCCCACTTCTGCCCCCAGGGTTGCCACTCTCTACTTTTCTTTTCCTGTGCTCTGGTGCCCTCCCCTCCCCTCTGTTTTGTTTTGTTTTTGAAGCCGGTTTCTCTGTGTAGCCTTGGCTTTCCTAGAACTCACTCTGTAAGCCTGGCTGGCCCCAAACTCCTGGAGATTTGTCTGCCTCTGCCTTTCAAGCGCTGGGATTAAAGGTGTGTGCCCTCATTTCCTGGCTTTATCACACCCCACATTACCGCACACACACACCCACCCCTGCTCCCACCCACATCCTGAAATCCTCTTTCTCATCTCCAGGCTAAAGCTGGAGTATAAGCTGGAATTTGCATTTAAAAGAGACAGTGTGGTATTTCTCCCGTCTGGGTAATCTCATTCAGTATATTTTTTCTTTCCAGTTCCAGTCATCTACCTGAAAATGTCATAATTTAATTTTTTATAGTTAAATGAAATTCCATTGTGTATTTGTGCCACATTTTCATTAGCCATTCATCAGCTGATGAACATCTAGACTGCTTTCATTTCCTGGCTGTTGTGAATCCAGCAGCATTGAGCATGGGTGTGCAAGTGTCTCTACAGTGTAATGTAAGATATTTGGGGCATATGCCCAAGGGAAATAGAGCTGGGTCATCTGGTAGCTTAATTTCTAGTTCTTTGTTAGTGTATGTTTTTTATTTATTTGAGAAACCCTATTTCCAACATGTCTGCCCTAGTTTACAGTGAAACTAGATCTCTATCTTTCATCTCGCACAAAACTCAACAACCTTAGCATGAGAGTTAAAACCCCAGAACCTGCGGGGAGGAAGTGGGGAGTGCACCTCAATAGTGGAGACCCCAGAACCTGCGGGAAGGAAGTGGGGAGTGCACCTCAATAGTGGAGACCCCAGAACCTGCGGGAAGGAAGTGAGGAACACACCTCAATAGCTGGACTTTCTGAGCAGTACTCACAGCTCAGGGACTAGACCAACAGTGAATCAATGCAATTTCCTGAAACTAAAATGTTTCTGTACAGCAAAGGAATCTATTAGAATAAAGAGACAGCCTACAAAATGGAAGAAAAAATTCTATCTGTATATTGGGCAGAGGATTAGTGTCTAGAAAGAGCTCAATAAATGAACATGAAGAAAGCAAGCAATCCAATTAGAAGGGGGTTATGGAATTAAGCAGAGAGTTTTCAAAAGAAGAAATACAGATGGCAAATGAACACTTTTGGAAGTGTATAGCATCCTCAGTGCAGGGAAATGCAGATTAAAACTGCTTAAGATTTTATCTCCTGGGGCTGGGGAGCTGGCTCAGTCATTTAAAGCACTGGCCGCTCTTGCAGAGGACCCAGGTTCAATTCCCCACTCCCACACGACAGCTTTCAACTGTCTGTAACTCCAGTCCAAGAGGATCCAGCGCCCTCTTCTAATCTCAACAGAGACATGCAAACAGGCAAAACATAAATACACATAAAGTATTTTTAAATGCTGAATTAGAAGATCCCATCTCCAGTCAGAATGGCTACCGTCAAACAATGGCAATAGTAGTCTCATAAAATGAGTTGTGGGGTAATCTTACTACCATGTTTTCTAGAAGGATTTGTATAGAATTTATATTATTACTTAAGTTTTTCATAAAAATCAACCAGTGAACTTTTAAGTGTTCTTTATGGGAATTACTTAACTATGAGTTGTTTCTTTAATGGGCACAGAATTTCAAATTATCCATTTCTTCTGGGATGAGCTTTGTTTCTTTGTGTCTTTGAGGTGTTTGTCTTGCCTAACTTGTTGAATTAATTAGCCTAAAGTTTATAGTTACTTTTCGTCCTTTTGGCATCTGTGGGCTCTGTGGTGATGACTTATTTTCTTTCTTTGTCCTGATGGTCTGTAGACTCTGGTCAGAACTTTATCAAGTAGACTGATCTTTACAAAGAATTGGTGTTTGTTTTTATTGGTTTTGCTCTTTTATGTTTGTCCATTTTCTACTTCATTCATTTGTGTTTCTGCTGAGTTATTTATTCTCCTTACTTTTGGCTCAAGTTGCTTATTGTTAGACCTCTTTTTAAAAATATTTGTTTTATGTGTATATGTCTGGATAAGTGAATGCCACATGTATGTGAGATGCCTGTGGAGGCCAGGAGAGGTCACTAGAGCCCTTGGAGCTGGAATTAGTGTAGAGAGCTATAGAACACAGCCTTCTGGGAGATTAGTATATACTCCTAACCCCTCAGTCATCTCTGCAGCCTGTACATAGACTTCCTGTTGTCTGCTCAATCCATGTATGTTCTTCCCCCAACCCTTTTATGCTCAGTAACAGTTGGTAAGAGAAATAAGTCAGATCTCTAGTGGTAATTTGTCTATTTGTGTCAATTCAGTTTTCTCTTTTGTGTTTAAAGCTACGTGTGTTTTTAAACTCATATTCTAGGTAAAGTGGCCAGTTCGTCGTCATACAGATTCTCTTGTTACCCCAGCAACATTTGTTCTGGTCTGATTATCTAGTATACCTTGAAGAAGTGGGAGATGGTGAGACATTTTGGAGTACTTGGGGTGCACACACACTTCAGGGCTGTATTTTGTTCTAAGAGTCATCTGTGTCCTGGCCTCTTCCCTGTCATCTCCATAGTCCTTTCTGAAGTTGTGTGGTAGCCATACCATGGTCCTCAGTTTCCAGAGTGTGCAGGTGAGGCTGTGAAAGCATAGACAGTTTCTGAGAAGCCTGAACTGAACTCCCTGGGGTCGTGCGTTGCTTTCCCTATGGCCCCCTTAGCCTTCAGAGTAATGCCTTGTCCCATTGTACCTGCAGCGGACAGTGAGAACAACATGGCCTCCAGCCAGTCCCGATCTCCACCTGCTGCGGTGGAGGAGAAGTGGAAGCCTCAGGCCCAGAGGAACAGTGCCAACCACAGTAGGTCCCAGTGCATGTTTGTGTCCAAATCACTACATAATGCCAGAATCATAACTAGAACCCCACATTTTCACAGTTTTCCTAAGTTCTTCTCTTGACGCTGTCCCTAAAACACATTACTCAAGAAAGACTCCTATGTAATTCCTGTTGAGGAAAAGGTTGTGTTCAAAGGTTTAGGTGCTTGGCACCTGTGGCAAGTATGTTGCACACATACCACTATACACAGTTCTCATGCCCATGGCATTATTACTCAGTCATAGAACTTTATCCCTATGGTGCCGTCAGTTGTTAAAAGCAGACCACACCAATTTGTATGCAAGTCTCAATAAATCTTCATACTAGCCCTTTAGAGTATTACTACTGCCAAGTTAAACTTTGAATGTCAAAAGTAATCCTTCTTTCGTTGTGTCCCCTGCCAGCCACAACTAGTGGTTTGACACCCAACAGTGTAATCCCTGAGAAGGAGCGGCAGAACATTGCAGAACGGCTACTGCGGGTCATGTGCACTGACCTGGGTGCGCTGAGCGTGGTCAGTGGGAAGGAGTTCCTCAAGTTGGCCCAAACCCTGGTAGACAGTGGCGCCCGCTATGGAGCCTTCTCAGTCACCGAGATCCTGGGCAACTTTAACACTCTAGCACTGAAGCACCTGCCACGCATGTACAACCAGGTGAAGGTGAAGGTGACATGCGCCCTGGGCAGCAATGCCTGCCTGGGCATTGGTGTCACATGCCACTCCCAGAGTGTAGGCCCTGACTCCTGCTACATCCTTACGGCCTACCAGGCTGAGGGCAACCACATCAAGAGTTATGTGCTAGGCGTGAAGGGTGCAGACATTCGTGATAGCGGTGACTTGGTGCATCACTGGGTGCAGAACGTGCTGTCAGAGTTTGTGATGTCAGAGATCCGGACTGTGTATGTAACGGATTGCCGGGTGAGCACATCTGCCTTCTCCAAGGCTGGCATGTGCCTTCGCTGCTCAGCCTGTGCCTTGAACTCAGTGGTGCAGAGTGTGCTGAGCAAGCGGACACTGCAGGCCCGCAGCATGCATGAGGTCATCGAGCTGCTCAATGTGTGTGAGGACTTAGCAGGCTCCACGGGCCTGGCCAAGGAGACCTTTGGCTCTCTGGAGGAGACATCACCCCCACCCTGCTGGAACTCAGTAACAGACTCACTGCTTCTGGTCCATGAGCGCTATGAGCAGATCTGTGAGTTCTATAGCCGTGCCAAGAAGATGAACCTCATCCAGAGCCTCAACAAGCACTTGTTGAGCAACCTGGCCGCCATCCTGACACCTGTGAAGCAGGCAGTCATCGAGCTCAGCAACGAGAGCCAGCCCACCTTGCAGCTGGTGCTGCCCACCTACGTCCGGCTGGAGAAGCTCTTCACAGCCAAAGCCAACGACGCAGGCACTGTCAGCAAGCTCTGCCATCTCTTCCTAGAAGCTCTCAAGGAGAACTTCAAGGTGCACCCAGCCCACAAGGTGGCCATGATCCTGGATCCCCAGCAGAAACTGCGGCCAGTGCCACCCTACCAGCACGAGGAGATCATCAGCAAGGTGTGTGAGCTCATCAATGAGGTGAAGGAGTCCTGGGCCGAGGAGGCCGACTTTGAGCCTGCCGCCAAGAAGGCGCGCTCAGCTGCAGGCGAACACCCCACAACTCAGGAGGATGACCGGCTGGGCAAGAACGAAGTGTATGACTACCTTCAGGAACCTCTCTTCCAGGCCACTCCTGATCTCTTCCAGTACTGGTCATGTGTGACCCAAAAGCACACGAAACTCGCCAAGCTTGCGTTCTGGCTCCTGGCTGTTCCTGCTGTGGGGGCTCGAAGCGGGTGTGTAAATATGTGTGAGCAAGCACTTCTGATTAAAAGGAGGCGGCTGCTTAGTCCAGAAGACATGAACAAGCTCATGTTTTTGAAATCTAACATGCTTTAAGACTCGACTTTGGGGAAAACAAACAGACAAAAGATGAAAAGAAAAACATTAAGAAAACACACACAATACTGTCACAAAGAAATTTAAGTTCTAAACACTGTGGAACCTCATTGTAAATGCCCCTGGAAACTTAAGTGCTTTTTTTTTAGTGTATGTGTGTGTGTGCGCGTGTGTGTGTGTGTGTGCACATGTGTCCACACCCACACATGTGACATTGCATGGGTAAAGGGTGTGGGGAGCTCATGCTTCAGTGCACAGGCAGAGCACGCACACACACTCACACACACACACAAACCTGGTGTGTGTACACATGCCTGTTCTCGGGCATGTGTGCATTGAGCTGGGTGTGTCAGGAAAGCCGAGAGACTGGGAAAGCGGATGGTTTCACTTTCCTCGGGCAGGGGCTCAAAGGACTCCATTTTCAGGTGTGCAGAGTGGGAGAAGCTGAGATTGTGAAATATTCAGGCAGCTGAGTGGCTTGAAGTCCCCTCCCCATCTCCAGCCCTTCCTTTGCGTTCCTCCGACCCCTGAACCCGTGGCCCCCTCCTCTGCCGCAGCTGCTCATCAGATGGACAGTTTCTGCACTGGACTTCATTCCTTGTTTCACCTTCAGGGCATTAAGCTGCTGTACCTGTGACCTCCCCCTGGGATGTCTGGGGCAGCTGCCTTAGATACACACTATCTATCTCCCCAAGTCAGGAAAGGAGACTTGAAAAATAGAAAACTGATGTTTTACTTTTTAATATAAGAGAGAGAGAAAAAAAAGACATTTTTTTCCAGAGATGTATAGCTGACTCTACACACAAGGTTTTTTGTTTTTGTTTTTGTTTTTTCCTCCAATGCAATTTTTTATCTCTCTGGGGATTCAGTTTCTTTTCACCTTTGATTTAGACTGCTGGGAGGCAATGAATGTTGTAGCTTACGTTCTGCAGTTTTGTTTTGTTTGGTTTACTTGCCCCTTTTTTGATGACAAGTCACACTGTAAACTAAGCTCATCTCAGAGGCAGTGATCAGGACGCACATGGCAGCGGTCAAGCATATGGCTGTGCGTCTGGGGTAGGGAGTTGAGAGGAGTCGTGGTTCCTTGGCTGTGGCTTTGGTAGAAGCCATAGTCGGCAGCGTGTGGCTTTAGGGGTCGGGAATGTCAGCAGGAGGCCACTGCCTGGTTTCTGCCTGTGGTAGTGTGTGTGTCCACCTCTTGAATGTTCATCTCCATATGACTCACCACATCCTAACCTCCAGCTCTTCAGGGACCATCATATATTCCACGTCTGTGTCTGCCAGACCCACAGTCTCTCTCCCTCTCTCCCCTGGGAGTCTGTAGCCCTCAGAGGTCCCCACAGGCACCGCAGACCTGCAGTCAGGGCATTGGTGTGGCACAGTACGTTGCTGGTTGAACACTTGGCATCCTGTGGGCATGAGCTTGACTGAACGCTGTGAAAGGGGTTGTTAGCCCTTGCTGCTGATTCCCCTGGATGGGAACTCGTGTTCTACACAGTCCAGATGCCAAGAGGGGACAGATGAGCACAACCTCCCCATAAATAAAGAACTTGGTGTCCCTGGTCCTCCGGTGACCACAGCTGTGGGATGAGCTTGCATGCACATCAGGCTGAGAATGGCCACCCCTGTTGGTTATTTGCAAAAGCACCTCTACCACTTGGGGCTTGGACTGGCCCCCTCTTTCCAGTCCTAAAGCATTACTCAACTGAAAGATACCTCGACTTCAAAAGCACTGTACCCAGAGCCCTGTCTCCAGATCCCCAACAAGAGGGGTGAAGATGGTTTAAAAACTCAAAGGCTTCTTGTTATGTTCCCAGTTCCAAAACACTATCCTTGAGGAGTAAGCCTGCACTCTTTGCCTCAACAGACTGCCCGAGCTCTCCTGCTGATTCTCAGATTCACAATAGAGCAGAGAAGACTGTGTCCAGTTCACTCCAGCTTTGTTCTCAGGAACCTCCACACAGTCTCTACTCCAGGGCAAGTTCTGGGCGATTCCATCATAATGTCTTCAATTTGGGTCTTAGCACCAGAGGAACCTCTGTTCACAGTGGAGAAATCTAGACAGGAACTGAATGTCACTCCCTGAAGAATGTAGGAATGTTTTCAGACTTGGGACATTCCAGAAGGTGGGCTCTGGTTGGCTAATGGTGGACGCCTCCAATCTCCCTCAGCTGTTGGGAAAGGGGCCACAACCTGACACTTGTAGGCACACTGGAAGCTGGGTGCTCAGTGCAGTCAGTGAGAGCCGAAGCTGAGCTGAGCTGCTGTTGCTGGCTCACATCAGCCAAGCCCGCGTGGGCTGGGCTGAGCTGCTGTTGCTGGTTCACATCAGCCAAGCCTCCGTGTGCATTTCAAGCATTCTTTTTGAAGCATGGAACATTTGCCCTCCAGAAAGAAAACTGGTGTTAAACTCCAGGCATCAGGTCATAGGCTGTCACTTCCTGTCCAGTTCGTTCACACCTAGACTCTGTCCCTGGGCTTTGATCGCCTCCTTAGGTCCAATGCGAGCCCCAATTAATCCTCAGAACCTGTCTCCCAGGCCACCTTGTCCTCACAGATTATAAAGTGGCAGGCTGTCAATCATTTCTCTCTAGTATCAACCGGAAAGACTGTGCCTATCACATGGTGCACATCCTGCAACCAACAGCTCATAAACCCAAAGATCTCCCGGGTTCATCCACAGGCCCCCGCAACAGCAATAGCCATCTTACCAAATTCTAGTTCAGCCAAAGCACTAAGATAGGTTCGCCTGGGCTGGCCCTGACCTTCAGAAAGGTCTTTGTCATCTGCCTCCTCGTTCTGAGACCACTAAAGTTCTATACCATACGCTTTGGGGACTGGGAGGCCAGGAAGCTGGGCCATTTCTATCTCTGTTCTCATAGCTTACCTTGAGCTGTGTGATTCCCTGGCCAAAAATTGTCTTTGCTTTGACATCTGTGAACCCAAACATGGAAGTAGAGAAGATGAACGTTCATTAGCAATGTTCTCTGCAAAGTTGAGGTCACTCATGAAGCCCGAGCCAGGGACTGTGACTTGTTTGCCTGGTGGTTCACTGCTCAAGAGGTCTCAGGTCTGTGAGGGGCAATTGTACACGGAAGCCCTTGTTCTTAGCGTGGCTGTGTTCCCAGGACCCAAGTCTACCTGCCAGGCCTCCCTTGCATGGCATATTCAGCAACCAGAAACAAAACGGGTGCACCCGAGCACAGCTGTCTGCATTTCATCCCTAGGGATTGCCTGCACAGAAGCCTTGTGCTACAGCACCAGTGATGTCACCATCCCACTTGAGGACTTCGCGTTTGGCATGGTGGGGCAGGCTTGCTCTTGGCCAGGGAAAGGTGCCATTTCCTGGTGGGAAGGGCAACCGGTGAGAGTGATGAGAGCCCAGCTTGAGGTTCTAGGACGGTCCTGACCCCTGCTGTGCAGGCTGGACAAGAGTCTTCATTTCACTTTGACAGATATATCTCCTGCACTTTGAAGAAATGGAAGAACTCTACATGGCATGTTTTCCACTGTGAAGCTGAAGCTCTGCCATTGGAGCCCACTTTTGAGCAAGGTCCCCTATTTTCCTGGCCACAGGCTAGACTGCCCAAGAAGGGGAACACCTGAGGAGAGTCTGGGCACTATCTGTACTCACTCTGAGGACACAGGCCACCAGGAAGGATCAAAGCTGGTGTGTAGGTGAAAAGAGACTCTGTGGGATGCCACCCCAGACCTTATGCCATGCTCAAGAGAAGTGCACAGGGCACTCCTTACCACATAAGCTGTGCCAAGCCCCCAGCTTCCTGGCCTTGGCAGTGGCATGACACTATTGTGTCTGGAAGGCTTCTGGGGGCAGAACCAAGAGACTAAGGCTCAGGCTATACCCTGGAGACAGTGCACAGGGGCTCCTGTCCCCAGGGCAGTGGGAGAGCTGGCAAGGAGGTTGGCCCTCCCCTTCACTGTGGCTAACGTTTGCTAGGCCAGTTATGGTGAACCAATGATACAGTGTTTCCTCTTACGTTTCCCTCCTGTCTCCCTTTTACAGGGTCTCCGGGGGGATTTATGGCTGTGGTTGTTTTTCTTCCTATCTCATTTGGGTCTGAGGATGGCAGTCTAGAGAGCCCAGGCTTTGACCAAGGGAACCTGTGGTCTCTGAGGTTTCACATGGAAGAGGGTGGTACCTTCAAGGTTCTATTTCCATATGGGAAATTGACTAGGCTTGGAGTTGGCATTAGCATCATGGCCCACCAAGGTCCTACCCACCCAAGCTTCCCATTGGGAAACCTTGACTCTTTGAACCAAAGTTCCTTAAAGGGGCACAGCCCAGCCTTGTCCTTCGGAGCCTGAATTTGCATACCAGCTAGAAGGAAGAATCCTCCCAAAGGCTCTCCTAGGAACCTTCTCCCACCCAGTCAGGGTGGGTGGTTTCCCCAACAGGGCTCAAGCTTGTGGCCAGATGTGGGCTGGGTCTGGCCAGCCAGGAAAGAGCAAGAGCCATGTGGCAGGGCCTTCTGGGCCCCCAGCATCAGGAAACCATTTTGTACAACAACCCGGAGCAGAGATATTTTTAAGAGGCATGAGTTATTTTCAATTGTCTCCTGATCCTGTCTTTTTCCTTTCCCCCACAACTTCACGTGGGTGATCCGTTCACATCAGGTAAATCTTGAGAACGCCTTGGTGCCCCCATCCCTCCTGCCCCCCAACTCAGTGACCACGTGTGTGCGTCCCCATCCTGTCTCAGTAGTAATGACATTCTAGGCAATACCATAGACACATTCGTGTCTCGCTTTGAGTGCAAGAAACTCAAGTCATCTTTAAAAAAATTAAAAACACAAAAAAATTACAAAAAAAGCAAACACACACACAAAAAATATCTTTTTTAGGGCAGAGTTTTCTACAGGTATTAATGAATATTTTTCTTAATCCTTATAAGTTTTATGTGTTTAATATTTCTTAATACCAGTAGCATTAATTTATACTTTTGTAGCAACATAATATTTTTATAAACAGCCAGTGCTTGGCTCAAGTCTTCACGGGGGTTTGTGCAGGGCTATCTTAGGGACCCTGTGTACCATGTACTGTATTTAAAAGTTACCTAGTGTCGCACTTGCTGTGTTAATTAACAAAGATGTCGTTGGTGGTCTCCTGTCCCATGGCGTGGGTCCCGCAGTCCTTCAAGGAGCCACATTGCATGGGGTTGAGTTGCCAGTTCTGGTGATACATAAACTCCCAAGTCAAACTTGTGGGTTTATTTAGGGTTTTCTGTGCGTCCTTTTGGGGTGTTTTGCTTTTGGTTTGGATACTGTTTCTCCATTTTATAGCCAAATAGGTTTCATGCTGTTTAAAAATTTTACTGATGTTAAATGGAGGAAAGGAACAGAAAAATTTTAAAAAGAGAGATTTTTTTACAAAGTAATAAAATTTAAAACTGAGCTCTTTCAATGTTGTTTTTACCTGTCTGTTCTCATTCAAAATGGAGTGTTCCCATGGAGAAGTGGAAGGTTCCACTGGGTTCCTTAAGTCACCAAAAGCCCCAGCCCAAGATTCAGTTTCTCCCCCAACCCCCAAACCATTTCCCAGTTGGTTGATGCCAAGGCAGAAAGACATCCTTTCGGTGACTGGAGGACCAGTCGCTGGGCGCGTTCACAGTTCATGTCATCAGTGTTGTATTTATGGTTTTACAATAAAATGGCCTCTAGGAACTCTGGTGTGTGGTGTTTTTCTTAGGGTTGGAGTTGGGCTGTGCTATCACAGATCACAAGACTGGGTGAGGAGGACAGAGGTCAGGCACCCAGAGGGCTTGAGCCTGTCATACTCTGAGGTCATACTTGCCCACGCATTATCTAAGGGTCATTGGTTGTCACAGCGTAGACCTGGCTCAGCCAGTGTTTGATGGATTTGGAGAAGGTATCAAAGGAGACCAGGAC